CGCCACCTTCGCAGGCACATACACACGCACACGCTGGCAACACACACATACACACACACACACACACCACGCACACCGCACAAACACACACACACACACACACCACACACACACACACACACACACACACACAAAACAGACACGCATTTCACCGCCACCTTCGTCTTCCCCCCTCATTTGTTCCCCGTTTTCCGCTCTTGTCCCGTTCCACTTCTCTCTCCCTTGTTCCCCGATCCCCTTCTCGCGCACACGGACAAACATTACCCCACGCACACGCGCACCCCCCCCTACCCTCCTTCCCCGGCAGAGCCACCCCTGCAACCCCCCCAAAGACTGAAGCTCAGCCTCGAGGCTGTAGCTGAGGCTCCTTCAAACTCACACGCCAAGGAACCCCCTCTTCCCATCCCCCACGCCATCGGAACCCACGCCACTGGGCCCCCCCCCCTCTTCCCCCAATTCCTCTTGTCCGCAGGCGGGACGGGGGACCGGACCCCCCCCCCCCCCTCCACGCCACCAGAACACACCACTGGACCCCCCCCGCCCCCTCCCCCTACCCCGGCAGAGCCACACCGGACCCCCCCCACGGCCCCCCTTCTTCGCCCAATTCCCCTTGTCCACAGGCGGGAGGGTGGACCAGACCCCCCACCCCCACGCCACCGGAACCCACGCCACCGGACCCCCCCCCCCCCCCTCCCCCCCTCCCCCCCCTTGCCCCGCCCTCTTGGCCCGTCTTGGGGCACTCCTGGGGCCGTCTAGGGGCCCGCCGGGGCGCCTGGCCGGCGCGTCGGAGATTAAGGCAGATCCGTTTCCTGTTAATATAGGTGCCCACTGTACTAGTACACCTATATAGGCGCTGGCCGACATTATTAATTGAAGTAACATAGGAGATGCCGCGGTCGGCGTTTTTGGGGGGCCGCGCCGATTTCGGCCCGATCTGGGGCCCTGGAAGGCCCAAAAATTTCGTGTTCCCCGCTGTCGCCTCTGCGAACAGCTCCGACGTCGAGAAATCAGGCCCACGCATTTGTATATATACATATATATATATACATACATACATCTACAATATAAGAATATAGATAGTTATGCATGTACATACATATGTATGTATGTATGTATGTATGTATGTATGTTTGTATGTATGTTTGTATGTATGTATGTATGTATTTATGTATGTGTGTATGTTTGTTTGTTTGTATGTATGTATGTATGTATGTATGTATGTGTGTATGTATGTTTGCATGTATGTATGTATGTATGTATGTATGTATGTATGTGTATATATATGTGTATATATATGTATACAAGTGGCACGTGTGTGCCCAGGCTCATACAAAAAAACTGGAAGGGCGCTTGAAGCAGGAAGACACCATGACTGCAGGATCGGAGATGGAGAAGGGGAAGCTGGGGCAGCGCCGCCAGGGCGTGCCTAAGAGAAGGGGAAGAGGCAGGAGGTGAACGCAGAAGAATCTAAGATCGAGGTCGCACTCGAGCGCAAGTGGGGTTGCCACACCTTGTGATGTGTGTACCAGGGCCCCCCAGGAAACCTCAGGAGGCCCGACTTGGATACCGGAAGAGGCTCCAGGAGGCCCGGGATTGTGAGTGTTGTGTGTGTGATGTGTGCTCTGTGTTGTGTGTGTTTTCTGTGCGTTGTAGGTGTTGTGTGTGTGTTATGTTTGTCTAGCGTGTGATGTGTTGGGTGTGATTTGTGTCTCTGTGTGTGCATGTAGTTCTGAGGCCTCAGCAGGCCCCAGGAGGCCCCAGGCGGCCTCAGGAGGCCCCAGAAGACCCCAGGAGGTTCCAGGAGGCCCCAAGAGATTCCAGGAGGCCGCAGGAGGCCCCAGGAGGTTCCAGGAGACCCCCAGGAGGCTCCGAGGCGGGGTTTGGGGTACCAGAAGGTACAGAAAGCCCCAGGAGGCCCCAGGAGGTTCCAGGAGGCTCCCAAGAGGCTCCGAGGCGGGGTTTGTGGTACCAGAAGGTACGTCGGGGCTCGATTTGGGGAGGATGTCTCAGGCGAAATCGCCATTCTCTGAGAATCGGGGTCGAAATCATTGAAATTATTATGTATTTTTGAAGGTGTTGTGATAAAATGTTGAAATTCCAATTTGTTTTTGGACCCTGACGTCACGATCTGCGTGAGGGTTGCCACGGAGTTTCAGAATGTCGAGGATGTCCCTAGCGAAACGGCCAGAAAAATCGCGGACGCGGCGCCCCGCGTACGCATTAATCGCCTCTGAGCTCTACTCCCTCGGAGAGGTGCGTATGATAATAAATGTATACACACACGCACATCGAGACAGAGATAGAAAAAGAGAGGGAGGCAGAGAAGCGAGAGAGAGAGAGAGAAGTGTCTGCAGCGGGCGCGCGTACGCGTACACATGCGCTCGTTTCCCCTCCGCTGCCATTTGCTCCTCGCCTGGTCCCGTCCTGTCCCACCTCTCTTTGGCCCATCCAGTCGTTCGGCGTCAGCCTCGCCATCCGCTTTCCTCCGCTCCCCGTGCTTATGTATACCGTCATCGCGCGGCTGCAGGTCGTTTACCACCCGTTCTCCGACACAGGCCCGAGCTTCCGCTGGATTCCTCATTCTTCCCCGCCTGTCGTCGCATCCCGTGAAGTCAGGTGCCGTCAGGTTTGTGTCTACCGGGACGTTCCCCCATCCGCGTATTCCCTGCATCCTGTGCATTCGGACTGACCTGCATCGGGCGGTCATGGCCGCGGTCGTTGTTGCGGTTACGGCGCCAGGGCTTTGCGGTCCAAAGTGGGGAGGGACAGGGAGACCCACGTGTTTCCTCCGTTGGCTCCCAAACTCCCGAGCTCAATCTACCCACTCCCGCCCCCAGAGGCTTTGACCTGGTGAGGAAAACGAGGCGCGGCAGTAGCACTGGAGGGGGAATGGAAGAGGGGAGAGGGAAGGAGTTCAGGAAGGCGAGAAGGAGGAGGAATGGGAGAAGGAGAGGGAGAAGTAGGAGGAAGAAGCGAAGGAGGAGGAGGAGGAGGAGGACGACGAGGAGGAGAGGGAGCAGGAGGTGCAGAAGGACCAGGAGCAGTAAAAGAGGAGGAAGAGGAGCAGCAGCAGCAACAGAAGGAGGAGCAGGGGCAGATGGAATGGAAGGGGAGGAGGAATAGTTGGGGAAAAAGGAGTGTGACGATGAAGAGGAGGTGCACGCTGGCCCCGACCACTGCGCCACAGGCGAACCGCGTGCGCCATTGAAACAGGAGGAGGAGGAGGAGGAACGCACAAAGAGGAGGAAGGATGGAGCAGGACGAGGAGGAAAAGAGGAGGAAAAGAGGAGGAGGGGCAAGGGCCAGAGGAGAAGGAGGATGGGGAAGGAGCAGGGGCAGGGGCGAATGGGGGGGGGAGGAAGAGGACGAGAAGGAGGAGAAGGAGGAGGAGGAGGAGGAGGAGGGCCAGCGTAAACCCAAGACTCATCAACGACGTTGCACCATAAACCCTCACTCCAAGTTCCCTCTTCATAGTTTCGTGTAAGGATTTCTGTGCATTGCGGGAAGAGCCTCGTTGGAAGGCAACAGTTTGGAAATGTTACCATGTCAAGGTATCGTTCCTGTGTCTTCAACCCCAGCGAATCGACGTGACTGCTGCAACCTGACGACCCTGAAGCGTGCCAGTGCACCGTTTCTGGGGCGTCGACACGTCGAATCAACGTGACTGACGCGCCCTGACAATCCCAAACCATGCCAATGCAGCATATCTGGACGGAAGCCATAAGAACCTTTTGAGCTGTTGTAAGCTGCCAAGACGAATGTGAGGGACACGACGGCGGGAGCCACACGTTGAAAAGAAACTGCCCTCCATCCTTTAAAGCTCCTGCGAACTTGCGAGACGAATGTGTGCAGCGCTGAGGCGAGAGCCACATATTGAAAACGGTCCGCCCTCCACCCGTGAAGCTCTTGCAAAGTTGTACGACGAATGTGCGCGGCATTCAGATTTGCGCCACAGCTTGAAAACGGCACATCTTCCATCCGTGAAACTTCTGCAAGCGTTCGAGATGAATGTGCGCTGCGCTACGACCAGAGTCACATTTGGAAACCGACCCGCCTTCCATCCGTGAAGCTACTGCAAATTCCAAGCTCAGGCGAAACGCCCAGCCCGCCCGACCGACCCGCTTAGGGGCGCGACAGGGGGAGTTATTGATCAGGAAGAGGGATGGAAGAGAAGAAGTAACAGGGAGTGTGACGGGAAGGGGGAGGAGGAGGAGGATCAGGGTAAACATTGCACGCACCATCGATGTTGTAGCAAACAGTACCGTCCCAAGTCTCCTCCTCCCCCTCCTCACATGGCACTACAAATACTTCGCGCTACCACGGCACGCACCCGTCAGAAAAGTGAGAGCCCCATTGTAGCTCTACAGTGCGATAGCCTATAGTGTAAGCGCATCAAGCCTGATGAAGTCCCAGGTCTGGGCCTATGTTCGAAAGGGGCCACCTTACGTTCGCGTAACCACTGTAAGTTGCATGACGAATGTCGAACGAGCAGGCGATAGTCACATTTTGATCACGCACACCCTCCGCCAATGTACTTGTGGGAAATACTGAACCGAATGTGCTGCGCCAAGGCGAACAACGGCTTGAAAACGGCCTTTCATCCGAGAGTATGTTGGAGGCTTGAAACGCGAATTTGCGCAGTGGCAAGGCGGAAGACGTTTCGATAAACACCCGCTCGCAATATTCGTAGCACTTGGATACGCAAAGCGTGGAGATCATAGATTGCGACGACGTCTCAAGCGAAGCGGCTAGTCCGCCCTACCGACACGTCGGGTGGTGCGACGGGCTGGAGTTGGTGATAAGGACGGGGTGGGGCGGGGCAGGAGGGAGAGGGGGGAAGGCCGAGGAGGCCAGACGCAGTCGTGCGATGGCATCTCCTCCTTCCCCTGTGCCTCGCGAGCCTGGCTGGGTCGATCGTGTGGCCGGGGGCCCATGTCCAGCCGCCGGCCCAGGCTCGTACTTCCAGTGCCTGGCCGAGGCTCAGAGGCTTTGGCGCCGCC